CACAGTAGCTGTTCGGCTTTCTAGAAGTTAGTTGCTCGGTGAGAATTGAGCCATCGCTGTGGCCATTTGTAATCTTAAATCAATACCTGCAACTGGGTTGAGAGAAGATGGACAGGAGGCAAGCTGGACTTTTCTCACATTCCCACAGAAGGCTGAAGGAGAAAAATAGCGGAATAAAGTCATTGATGTTAATAAATCCATTTTCATTTAGTGAGCTGTCCTTCACAATGACTGAGGGGGGCAAAGGTAACAGTATGAATCACCACACTTGAAAAACACAAGAGTTCCAATTAACCAAGTGCTTTGAATGAGACTGTTGAATACATCAGCACTCGACATGAAAGAGGAAGTCGCGACTGCGAGACAGCTGTTGAGTCCCTGAGCTCAGAACATCAGTGCATGGGGGTCTGTCTGCAAAACTGGCTAGAGAGGAGGCAACGATAATCTCCAGAAGGATCCCGGACGAGCCCCCAGTTGGCAGATGGGCTTTTCTTCTGACGCTTACTTAGCTGAGCGGTGGAAATGCCCACACTGTGGTTGGAGTCGGTTTTGTGGCAGCGAGACAGGAAAAAGCAAACTTCACCATAAGTACTTTCAAATCCCATAGTGGCAGCATTCAGAATCATACTATTCTTGTTGGCCGTTCACAGGTAATCTGAGGCTTTAAACTCGCACTTTACAGCACATGAAGGCGTCTATGGCTGTGATCCGTTAAATAGGCACCCAGAGACCTTTATATGTGGGCAACAGAAGTAGAGGGCTCAAGAGACAGTAATTCGTACATGCCTCTCTACGCTTGTGACTCCTATGGTGCAATGGAGTACTTTTATTACACAAACTACAGACTTTAATGAAGAGTATCTACAAAAAGAAAGATATTTTCTCTTTTTGGCCTAAAATAAGATAAAGATCAGTAAACAAAAAAAATTAAAGGTGGATACAGCCCCACTGATGCAAAGAACTACTGATGGATTATATGGGGCTGCACAATTTTTTTTTTTATTGTTATATCCTCGCTCTTTGAGTAGATCTTTACTGTATTAAGAGAATATCAAAATATTTTGTGACTTAATATCTCCTACCCTGTAAAGAGCTAACCTGCGGTTCCTTCTACTGGAGCGACATGACAATACTATCGTTCACAGTATAATCAATGGAGCTGTCTAAACTGTAAATGTCTGATATGCTCTTTTGTGCTGAAAATGCCTTTAGTTGAACTTTTGACAAGCACCACTCATGTTCTGTTCATTTTAGACAACTATAGAGTGCAGCAGTGATGACATAATTTTTGTAGGCCAACCTAGAATTTAACATCAGCTTTGTTCCTTTGACAAAAACCCAATAGGATTTTGCCATTGGCTTTTGGATCACTGCACAAAATAGACCAACACTAGTTTACAATAGAGCATGATTATAAATGATAGAGTTTACAACAGATCACGATTATAAACAGAACAAAGCTGTGAAAGTTAGTAGTTGAGTTTTCTTGTTTGGTGTGATGATGAACCTCTGTAGTCCTGGTTTGCCAATTGATCGCAAATGTCTTTTTCAAAACAAGTAAAGGTTAATTGCAAGTGGTATTACTGATGCATTTTATGTTGTTGAATAAATTTTGAAAATATCTTGAGCTTTTCACCACAGGCCCAGGCATAAAAAAAAAAAAAAACATTGACTTTAGAAGTACTAACTTGCTTCCGGATTTTGCTCTGTGAACAAGTGCGTGAACCTAGATGCTTCTGACACTAAACCAGATGTGTTATTACCAAGTTAAGTAGCAGGTAGTTGGCCTGAAAGAGAAAAAAATACCATAAAATAAGGCATTTATGCAAATTTCTGCTATCGCTCCTATTGGCAATGCAGATAATGCATTTCTTCAGTGCTGAAATGCAGTCAGAGAATTATCAGGAATTATTTTAATGCTTTGTAGGTTGACCTAAAGAGAAGACATTGTTGCTCTATGGTGCTTTCAGAAAAGTTGCTTGCATGGTTCAACATGTCAAATTCTTATCGAACTGATAGCACGAGTTGGAGATGGAACTACTTTTGGAACAATCAAAAAAGACAGGTCATGGTCAAATGATCAGTAGAAATGTTTGGGAAGTGTAATAGGAAACATGTTTTCACAATTTCATTAGGTGCTACTAGCAGTGCATTACACAATTATACACAAAGTTCACAGAAACAAGAATTTGCAACTCTTGTTTGACTTTATGCAACCGATCAGCAATGCAGTGTGGTAACCACCAATGGAAGTGCAGACAATTGCGCTCACGTGATCTATCCCCTGATACAGTTGAATACTGCAGTAAAGCAGTAATAACTACAAGCAAACAACAGTGCAGCAACTTCACAACCTCCAGCAATTAAATCACTGTCAGTGTGAAAGCACCTTAAGTGAGGACAGCAAAACTATTGACGCTAGCAAAACAGTTATAGGACAAAGGCAAGAAACTCTGAAAGCAAAATGTACTGACTTTAATCAAAACTCATATCAAGTGTCAGCTGTTGACACTTTCATTCCTTTGATTCAAAAATCACACGGGCGTGTCAACACGTGTTTCTATCTCAATGCTTCTCTCTGCTGTTGCTAAGTAACACCGTCACAGTCTTTCTTTTGTTGGACGAGACCAGGGAAGAAACAAGGAGTTTTACAGTGTAGTTTTTAGTTTTCAAGAATGACCTTAGGTTAGATCAAAACATGACAAGGTTATGCTCTGGAATCTCACACGAGACCGTGTGGAATGACATGAAGTGTCATGCTGTGGAAGTGTATGTGTGGGGTGTGTAAGGTACCTTGTGTTTAGAAACCCTCAGGAGATGGAAGCAGAAGTCAGAAAGGTCAGACGCCTCTCAACGAGATTCTCAAATAGAGTTCTGGAGACGGTTTAGATGTTTTAAGCCTTTTATTGCTATTAAAAACCATTCTCCTGAATGAAAGTCCAGGCAAAAATAATATTTGGCATTGTGTCGTGATGGTAGGTTGGGCAAAATTACCTGAAATGGTCTGATGAATAAAAGTTGGGTTATCGCAGTTTTCAGTGGGAGTAACATAGCTGGCTGTCAGAACACTGTCACTACAGTTTCTCTTAAGGCCGGGACACACCAAGCAAACTTCAAAAAACTAGCGGCGATGAAAGCCGACAGTATTGTCGCCTCAAGTCGGCAGCGTCGAACCAAAAAGCTGCGCTCAAACACACTGCACAGACTACAGCCGACGACAAACTAACACGTGCGTTCTGCGCATGAGTGAGATGAATTAACTGTCTATATCAGCAGCTATCAATAATATATATTCGTCATTCAAAAGGAGAAACCTAAACAAAGATATACGAGATAAACGCAGATATACGAAACGTAAACAAAGCAGCGCTTGCTTACCATTTTGAATATCAGTAACGTTGATAACTTTAATCATTTTAAGCGGCTCATGTTGTTATGAAAACATTTGCGTATTAGAATGATTGGGAAAGATTACGTAACATTTAAACAGCCTTCTGTTTGTACCGCCTTCATTTACGTGCTTGTTTTCATCACTTTCGCTTTAATTCTCGGGCACTGACTCGTTTGCTAAACTGAACATCCAATCAGAGCTCTCACTCGCGCCGACGGTCCCGACGGTCCCGACGGCCCAGACGCCGATTCAACATGTTGAATCGGGCAATCTGCCGCCGACGTGAGCCCGACAAGAGCCGACGAGTGGAACACACCAAACAAACTAGCCCAACCGTCGCTCGCCGTCGGCCCGACATTGGCCAACAGCCGACCGTTGGCTTGGTGTGTCCCGGCCTTTACTTACCAAAACAAGAAAACCCGACAGCCGAGGATTTTAAACAGCACATTCTGAACAGAAAATCCCATGAATGATATCAAATAGTAACATAGAGCTCCTCAATAACACACTGCTGGTTGTGAGTAGTGTTGGCACAGCGTGGTTTGAGCTGGCACATCCAGGTCACTTTTACTAAAACACTATCGTAATTGAACATTTATCCTAATTAGATCCAAAGCAAAGCTCTGCAATTAGCACCTATTACAGTACTTTCATAAAAGGTTATTCCGTTCATAAACTTCACTGCATACACTGGTAATGCCACGGATAAAATTAACAAGCGTGTTTAAAACAAACGTTAAATTAGATGTAAACACAGACATTTTAATAAAATAAATAACATAAATTAATTCAAGTATATTCAAGATGCAGCCATCCAAGTTTTAGCACATTGAGCTCATTGACAATTTACCAAACATACTCTACCAGCAGCAATATTAAAAATCCCTTTCATCAGCACTGCACATCAGACAGCCCAGACGCTGAGGTTCATATTTGCATTCTACACATTATGGCTCATAAAAGTTATGCAAAAGAGACTTGCATCCCTTAAAAGTTGATAGGTGATCTCAGCTTTTAGTTCAGAACAGGCAACTATAGTCTAGTATAACGTAAAGCATTTACTCCAAACAGTAAGCCGTTTTAATTCCTAACACTATAATACTCATAAAACCCTAGACCTAATCTCTAACCCTAACCTTGACTCCAATTCCAACACTAAACTCCTTAACACTAACTCTTTCCCTTTCTAAATCATTCTTAGGGGGGCATTCACACAGGACACATTCCAGTTGCAATCTTCATCTACGTTATTTTTTTCTGTGGAATGCCACTTACATAAAAAATCTTAGGATGTGAGCTTGTCACTCAACTTTACATTGTGTTGTCTTTCCTGACTGCATGCAACAACACATTACGCTTCATTTTGTTTTGTTTTTTAAAATTACTTTTAATGAATAGATCAAACTCATTGGTCAATGGAATGAAACCTTCACAAGGAATACAAATTCCTGATGTTATACTCAAATCTTCGGCCGTTGCAACACATAATAGTTTTTTTTCCCTCTCGCCATGAACATTTTCAAGCGCCTTGAAAAGTTAAAAGCTGAGATCCTGTGTGAACGGCCCCATATTGTTAAAATTTTAAATCTGAGAAGAATTTAAAATAGACTAAATTAGCTAAAATATAAAGTGAATATTAAGAAAGTGACATCATGTTATATATTAATCAATAAAATGATTTAGGGAAAAACTGTGTGATAGAAATAACACCATGGTCAAAGCAAAAAAAAAGTGAACATGACCTTTTCTGATTCCAGCAGCGGACAGGAGGCAGAAACTGCTCGATCATATGCATCTGATGCATTAACAATGCAGGCGTGCAGATCCCCTTAAATATGCTGCTGGAGTTTGCGGAGGTCCCAGACGTTATGCCCTTAGGTCTGGATATCTTAAGTCTGGATATGGTCTCCCCCAGCAGGTGTCGGAGTCCAGTGGCCATCAGAAGTGACCCATCCGTGCGGTAAAGACGCTGCGGGGGCGACTGGAGGACGCCGAGCGGCCGAAGCTAGATGACGGCCACTTGATGATGAACTGGGAGGTGACTGGCAGCAGATACCTACACAGATGGAGAGAGGAATCAGAAATGGGGGTTGGATGCCAGACTCAAAGGCAGGATTAGACGCACAAAGGTCACCTAAAGAGATCAGGCACTTTTCCTCTCTCTCCACTTCCAATCCTCCTCCAGCTGATGCTTTAGATTCCCGTCCCCTCGGCTGACCCTCACGTTTACACTGTGCCGTTTTTAACAATGAGTGACACGAGTGGCTGGACGTGACTTGTTTTAACAGATAAGAACTTGTTTAATGCGCAGGATGTTCTGAGACAGGATAACAGGTTAGATAATTAGGGCCTACACACAGACAAGGAGGGTAACCAGCCTGGACAGCTGATGACCCACACTATCTTACTGCAGAGCAGCTTAATTATAATTCCACTCGAAACAAGGCAATTTAAACTGTTAATTAATTAAATAACACCGTGACAATAAAAAAAAGTTGTGCTAAATAAGCTGAATACACTAAATCGTTTGAACAAACAGCTGCTGAAGTCTTTTTTATTTTAGTTAGTGGTAAAAATGTTTTTGGGGCAATGACAAATAAGGATGTCTGAGATGATAAAAAAGAAAAGTCTTTTAGAAATATAGTTAATATGTTTCTAATAGTTAAACATGAACTTTAGATTTATGTCTGTAAAAACTGTTGTAATCAATCATATATGTGACCCTGGACCACAAAACCAGTCTTATGTTGCATAAGATAAAATGCTATTTTGCAATAGCCAAAAATACATTGTATGGGTCAAAATTATCGATTTTTCTTTTATGCCAAATATTGTTAGGATATTAAGTAAAGATCATGTTCCATGAAGATATTTTGTAAGTTTCTTACCGTAAATATATCAAAACTTCATTTTTGATTAGTAATATGCATTGCTAAGAACTTCATTTGGACAACTTTAAAGGCAATAATATCTGTTCAATATTTAGATTTTTTTGCACCCTCAGATTCCAGATTTTCAAATATTGTCCTATCATAACAAACCATACATCAATGGAAAGCTTATTTATTCAGCTTTCAGATGATGTATAAATCTCAATTTCAGAAAATTGACCCTTATGACTGGTTTTGTGGTCCAGGGTCACAAATAATTAAATAAAAACATCTTAATCGTTAGTTATGAGGCTGTACAGGTGTCCTCTCCGTAATACATGTATTTTGGTTCATGGCTTTTTTGTGACATGAAAAAAAAAAGGTTTCCTGCAAGTTGGTTGAACCACAGTGACTTTGATTTGGCAAACAAATATTTTTTTCAATCATTAATATTTATCATACATTTATACACACATAAATAACATACAAATAAACTATTTAAAGGGATAGTTCTCCCAAAAATTACAATTCTGTCATCAATTACTTACCCTCATATTGTTCTAAACCTGTCTTTCTTCCTTCTGTTGAACACAATAGAAGATATTTTGAAGCAAATCGGTATGTTGGTCCCCATTGACTTGTTCAACAGAAGAAAGAATTCATACAAGTTTGAAACAACTTGAAGGTGAGTAAATGACAGAATTGTCAATTTTGGGTGAACTATCACACCATAGTAAAGTATTTTTTTTTCAAGAAATTCAGTTTATGATGTATGTATGTATATATACTGTATATATATATACATTAGGGCATTATATTACATATATATATATATATATATATATATGTACATTATTAGGGCTGTCAATCGATTAACATTTGTAATAATCACATCCTTTTTCTGTGATTAATCGCGGTTAATCGCACACTTCATGAAATTAAACATAGACCATTTATCTTGTTTCAAATGTTTATTTTGTCATCATTTGCTATATCCAGCAAAGTAAACCAAAAGATTGAAGGGTGATTCTCAAAAATCTATATTTTCTGCAAGATTTTTTCAAGATAAATTTAGATAGAAAAGAACACTTAGAAAGGGCGTAATAATCAAGGAACTTTGGAACTTTGGTGTACCATGGGTGCAGCAGCAAAGTTCCTTGATTATTATGCCGCAATGAGAGTATAGTTCCTAGCCACATCGGCCTAGAAAATCGCAACTTTTCATTTTCCGTCGGTCTTAGTACACGATATAACCACAGAAGAGTCAAGTTTTAAATAGGAAAAATATCTAAACTCTTTGGTCATTTTTGAGCGCGATGCTAATGGTCTAATCAGATTCAATGATCTATGCTAAGCTACAGCTAACAGTGCTACCGCCAGACCCGGAGATCGGCTGAATGGATTCGAAAACGGTAAAACTCAACTGTTTAACTCTAGGGGAGTTGGAAAATGAGCCTATTTTCAAAAATAGTGGAGTGTTCCTTTAAAGCAAGAGTTTTCATGCATAGCTTACGCTGTATGTACAACTATGTTACTTTATCCTCTTTGAAAACAAAATAATTGTGAGATTTCCAGACATGAAAAGTTTTTTCACAGCAGGAAGCATCGTAATTAGTTAACTGTAGCAGCGTCTCATCCCGCGTTTGAGGAGAATAATTGTAGACGGGTGTTATTTGCGCACGCACCAGCAGGTGGCTCACATGAGTCAACACGTGTCAACAGAACCAGGAACGTCTCGGTTACGTATGTAACCCTCGTTCCCTGAAGGAGGGAACGGAGACATCACGTCGGAGGACCGACGAATTGGGATCTCGCTTAGAGGGACCAATCTACTTCGAGTGTACCATCGCCCGCCTTCACTGTTGTGAAGCGGATGCCACTGAACGCCGGGCGACTGAATCGCATAGCCGAGCCTGACGGTTCGAAAGAGCCATCGAGACAGGGTGGGTAGCTCAAGCCAGGCTTCCAGACACCACGCTAGTGGCATCAACGGAACTACAGGCATACCCGCAGTGGGGCACCGTGGAAAAACACAGGGACTCGGCCCGGGCGTCTCGTAGCCGGTCCGAGGCGGGGTCTGGTGTGTGTAACACTGACCTGCGTTCGAGCAGAGGGTGCGTGGGTAGTCCGTTGGTTCGTCCTCCCGATCCGCCCACTGCTGCTCACTGGCGAGAGAGGAGGGTGAGCGTGATACGCACTAGATCGTCCACAACCCCCCGTCCCCTCTGGGGACCCAGAAATAGAGGAATTGCTCTTTGTCGAGAATTTGGGTACCACCGACCGAGAAGTCAGTGGTGGAAAAAGATGAAAATATTCTCCGCCCGGCCGGGGGAGGGAGTGGTGTGCTTACCATCTCCTGAAGAGCACGTCCCTCCACCTCTGGGTCGCCTGTCTCCGGGCCTCAAAAGAAACAGGTGGTATCCCCCGGGAGGGTCCAGCTTGCTCTTTTTGAAAGCTCCGCTGGTTTCGAAGTGCCGGCGGGCTTGGGCATCCCCCGAGGGGAATTCCTCACCGTGACCCTAAGACCAGTCTGCCCACTGCCAGAAAAAGGACGCCCCCGGCTGCCACCAGAGGGAACCCCAGATCTAGGCAGTGGCACGGGCACGCCACCCCCTTGCAGGTAACGGGAGTCCGGTCCGCAACTCCGAGATGGTCATACCGCCGCAATGGGAGCATGAGCCATCCACGACAGCCACCTCAGTGTGCTTCATGCCCAGGCACGAGATGCAGCGATCGTGACCATCACCCAGCGCCAGGTAACGACCGCATCCAGAACGCCCGGGTGATATGTTGTCTATAGCAAGACCCACATCGTCTTTACAAAGACGTAACGTCAAGTTTGCCAAGCAACGTCGTCTTTAAAAAGACGCACCCGAAATTGCTCTTTTAGGGGAAAAAGCTCTTTTAGCGTGCTGAGACGCACAGGGGAGATGATCATCTGCAACACAAACAGGGGGTTGTGCAACCCACTCGACACGGGAAACCACCACCGCTGAAGAGCCGTACCGCCAACACGAAGAGCTCTCCAAGAGCGCGCTGAACTCGTTCAGTCTTTTTCTCTCAGTAGAGTAGTCAGGAGCAGAACGATGTGATCGCTCGGCTCCGAAGCGAAAAGCTGAATATGCGCTGCATCTGCTGCCTACTTATACTCACTCTGTGATCAGCAGCAGCTGGATGCAATAATCGCATGCCAATGTGCATTGGCTCGTTTAGTTTACACTCGAAGTTGATTGGTCCCTCTAAGCGAGATCCCAATCCCTGAAAGGGAACTATGATGAAGCAGCGCTAAATATAGTTATTATGTCAAAATACTCATTTATTTAATTTTAAATGAAACAAATGTAATCCTGATAGTATTCCCACTTTTTACTAAATGTAACTGTAATCTGAATACATAGTTTTTTTTATGTAACTGTAATGGATTACAGTTACTAGAATTTTGTATCCTGATTACGTAACGCCGTTACATGTATTCTGTTACTCCTCAACCCATATATATATATGGGATGGGAAGATTCCCCGATTCGCACGGTGCATCGGCATAAAAAGTTAACGATGCGATGCATCGGTTTAAAAAGTGTGCATCAGATACAAGTTGGCATTTATATCGCGATACATCATTTCTAACATATTTGCATCAGTAAAAACAGATTTATTTATATATAATTACTAGTGGATGCACTATACTTTTATTATTTAGAAAGCGACCAATAATCTGTGACCAATATTTTATATGTAGATTGATTTCTCCTCTCTAAACTCTTTCTCAAGCCCGTTCTCTCATCACCGCTGCTGCGTGAATATGACGAATCACAACACCACGGAGACCTGAGGAAAAACAGGGAATAAAGTCCAAAACCTGACTTGAAATAACCTAACAAATCAATCGGGGCTAAAGCGGTTCCATAAACGGCTAATTAAGTTCACTAAATCTCACTAATTTGTTCACATTTATTTTTAAGCAGCTCTTAATGTCGATCATGGATCAAATCGATCCATCCAAACAGCGAATATATCTGTGCTGTTTAATGCATTTGAGACGTTTTGTTTTCCTCAGTGCATAACTGACATGTCACAGGTATATTTTTCATCTGTAAATGTTAGAAAGTCATGCAAATATATCCATTTTGCTGTCAGGAGTGGGCGAGGCTTTCGCGCATGCGTGCTAAACAGACGGCGCGCAATC